CACAAACGCACTTCAATACCGATTACACAAATACACTGTTTGTATCAGTAAACCAGTATGGAACTGAAGTGCCAATAAAAGAAAAAATAATGTTACGCGTGCGTGCATTCCTCGCTAGCAGATCCGCCCTCATATTAGTCTCCCGTTGCCGGTAGATGAGAGTGAATCCTGGGAAAGACTCCCGGAGGCCTGCCAAATCACGCAATTTCGGTTGGAAACCAGGCCAATCCTGCGGCGTTGTTACCATCTTCACTAGTTCTGTAGAGTCTGTTATAAACGTGGAGCAAAAACGTCGTTTTCGGAGTAAGCTCTTTATTGCCCAAATGAGACTATGTAATTCAGAGTGTAGAGGTGAGAGACTTTGGTGGTTCCTTTGAAGACCAAGAAGATTAATTATTCCATCCTGGAGCTGTAAGACCCAATCTACACTACTAGTGCAGTCATCTGCATCTGATATTCTTTTTTTGATAAAATATGTAAACATCTGAATAGATGAATCATATTTATTATGACGTCAATAAAATTGTGGTTCGGGCTCATTTCTGAATCTGGACTCATGACCATGGGGCGAGATCTCTAATAAATGGGCCGAGCCTGGGTTCTTTACTGGTTTTCCGCGTAAAATCAATGTTTGTTTTTTTAATTGGGATCAAATCAATCTTTGTTTTTATAACAGTTTTTGGAGTTCCAAATAAAAGGCCGAATGATCGATCTGTTATCCTTCTCATTTAAGAAGATTGTGAATTTCCTTTGTTTCCAACATACACAATTAATTGTAACTAACCCTCGAAGATCTTGTCGTAGACCTTCTAATGCATCACCGGCAGTCAAGAACAAATACCTCTATGCCACTCTCTCTTCACACTACACAAAGCATCCACATACTAGTCATCTCAATGGACTATTCTAACTAAGCTTCTAAATGTTCATCTTAGTTACATATGCCTTAGATGACTTTGAATGCAAAGAGTGTATAAATGGATGCAAGATCTGATTCCCTCGAGAACTGAATTTGGTATACCAAACTGTAATTCAACCTTGTTGTCGACTTGCTAGTACAATACTGGCAGTTAGTGCAATATTGGCAGTGAAGAACGAGGTACCTCTATGTCGGTAAAAAAAAGTATCCACATATCAATAATCTCAATGGACTATAAGCTAGCTTCAAAATGCTCATCTCAATTACATATGCTCGTGACCAGATATGCAAGGTTTTAAGAAAAACTTACAAAGGGTTTAAGATCATCAACATGTTTAAGGGTTTAATGTTGGTTTATTTTGCTTATCAAAAAAGTCGTTTTACACTATTGATATCTGTACACGGACATATACTAATATGAAAACATATACATGGCTAAGAACTTTATTGCGGGTGACCATAAAATTGAGTGCATTGATTGTATTTTTTTAACTTCAAAGGTAATTTGCAAAATAAGATTATGACGAGTTTTTTTTTTTTTTCAGAAAACCCTTAACTTAACTCAAACCAACTTCATTTATCGATTTGTACTTTTGTCCGGACCGTATCCAACAATTGTACTTTGGTAATGCAAATGTACTTACCGAGTTGAATATGCGTTCTTCAAAATGTCGTGATCATCGTTATCTGCATTTGGTTTGCTTGGGCTGAAGATGAAACAGTAAGC